AACATTTGGGATCCGCTCTTCGTGTGACCGCCATCTTCTCGCAGCCGCACAGAACCGCATTGTTCCCGGAGCGCTGTTTGCTGTCCTCAAAGCTGTATTTATGCTCGGTAAGAGACCCAGGTTCAGTGTCAGGTCTACACATTGGGGGGGAAATGATCAAAACTGGAGCTGACAGAATCTGGAGCAGTTGTTCACGGCAACCAATCAGCTTCTATCTCTCATTTTCAGATCTTACCTGAGCAAACTTACCTATACACATACAGCACAGCAATGAGGTAATACAATGAATTACGATCACACTAATCCAGCACGTTATTAATCTCACGTGCCCCACTCAATATGGCCGCCGCTTGAGTGGGGCAACTCAGAATAATAACGTGCTGGATTAGTGTGATCCGAGTTCATTTTATGACTTAATCGCTGCGCTGTATGTGTATAGGTCATCGCTGCGCTGTATGTGTATAGGTCATTGCTGCGCTGTATGTGTATAGGTCATCGCTGTGCTGTATGAGTATAGGCCAATGCCTTGGCTGGCGCTCGTGCAGAAAGTTTCTTGGGCAAAATCACCTGCCCAAGTGGCTCCCTCAGCTAACGAAGGGGGGGGAGGAGTCAAGTGCCGTCACCGGACCCCTCCCCCCTTCCCTTCGTTAGCCGTCACGGACATCGACGTCACCGGACCCCTCCCCCCTTCCCTTCGTTAGCCGTCACAGACATCGACGTCACGGGAACCGCATTGTTCCCGGAGCGCTGTTCGCTGTCCTCAAAGCTGTATTTATGCTCGGTAAGAGACCCAGGTTCAGTGTCAGGTCTACACATTGGGGGGGAAATGATCAAAACTGGAGCTGACAGAATCTGGAGCAGTTGTTCACGGCAACCAATCAGCTTCTATCTCTCATTTTCAGATCTTACCTGAGCAAACTTACCTATACACATACAGCACAGCAATGAGGTAATACAATGAATTACGATCACACTAATCCAGCACGAGCAAACAAAATCTGGAGCAGTTGTTCAAGGCAACCAATCAGCTTCTATCTCTCATTTTCAGATCTTACCTGAGCAAACTGAAGAGAGAAGCTGATTGGTTGCCATGGGCAACTGCTCCAGATTCTGTCTGCTCCAGTTTTGATAAATTCCCCCCATTGTGCTGGGAATACCACGTGAGCTCTGGCCCAAGCTGTGCACGCTTGTCTGGGTTTTGTGTTCTGGCCCAAGCTGTGCACGCTTGTCTGGGTTTTGCGTTCTGGCCCAAGCTGTGCACGCTTGTCTGGGTT